ACCAAAATTCACAAGGCAGGGATGCCTGAATTATCCAAAATGCTTATGGGAATGAAGTTCTAGATAATTATTTTCTGGCTAATGTGAAGACAGGCAGAAATCCTTTTTAATTTCATTCCTCTTTGCAAACCTGTATTTTTTTTTTTTTTGTAATTTTTTAATAATGCTGTTGTTGTTAAGTGCCATTGAGTCGGTTCTGACCCAATCCCACCCTGTATAGGGTTTTTAACGAGCAGCTGGTGATCTTGAACTGCCTACCTTGCAGTTCAAACAGCTTTGCAGTCTGGCGCATTAACCCACAACGCCACACCAGGACTACATGCACATAATGTACGTAGTTGGCACCAGTATATGGCACATCTAGCAAAACAACTACCGTCTGTCCATGGTCCTCCCCATAAACCTGCCTCACCCTGGTCCCAGTCCTGTTCCTTAACACTTTCAAGTCTTCTTCAGGTATTTCCTTCCTGAAGGAGATGTTTTCCTACGTTAATCAATAAATGAAGCGTTATTGATGTTTGCGGATTTTTCCTTTTCTTGTCATTGTCTATTTTCTACCTATCTTGGAAGAAATGCCCCTTTCTGTTCTCCTAAATAGTATTCACTGTTTTATTATTAATATATATTGTTCACTGCTGAGCCAAGTAACCAGACCCCAAACCCACTGTCATCGTTGAGTGGAACCCAACCATAGCAACCTTACAGGCCAGAGCAGAGCTGCCCCTGAGGGTTTTCCAGGCTGTCAATCTTTATGGAGCAGATTACCTCATCTTTCTCCCTCGATCTGCTGATGGGTTTGAACCAATGATCCGTCAGTTAGTAGCCCAAGGCTTAACCCACTGTGCCACCAGTTTTCCTTGCTGTGTTAAGTTGTGTAGTAGGGAGGTAATAAAAGCCTCATGATTTTGTTTGCCTTTTTTTTTTTTTTGATGACATTTTTATAAACTCTTGATCAAATTGTAAAATTCCTTCAAATACTAAAATACTATTTTCACACAAACTTATCCATAATGCTATCTTTCCATTTCCCTTCCTCCTATTATCTTACAGGCCCCCGCCCCCACACTTCTCTATGAACTCTACCTCTGGGCCCCTACGCAGCGGTTCAATGTGTGCTTGGAATCCCCCCACCTCTTCTGAGTGCAAGCCCCCATTTTTTGACTCTTCTATCTTGGTTCACCTCAGTATCTCTTTGAGAAAGGGTGCTGGAAAATTTGACAGTTTTTTGGATCCTGCATATTGGAAAGTGTCTATTGTTTTCTCATCTTTGATTAATAGTTTTTTGTTTTTTTAGGTGCAGAATTCTAGCTTTGATTTTGTTTTTCTCAGTATCTACAAGGGAGTTGAAAGAGCTCTGGTAGCGTAGTGGTTACAAGTCGGGCTGCCAACCACAAGGTCAGCAGGTTGAAACCACCAGCGGTTCCGTGGGAGAAAGATGAGGCTTTCTGCTCCCGTAAAGATTTATAGCCTCGGAAACCCTGTGCAGGGTCGCTATGAGTCAGAACCAACTCCACAGCACTTAAAACAACAACAACAAGGCAGTTGAGGTCCTGTTGTTTCATGAACTCAGCATCTTATTTCTCTGAGGATATTATCATGTTTTTAAGTTTATTTTTTTCTTGCATTGTCTCTGTTCCACCGTGTTCATTAAAATTATTATTAAAATTATTATTATTATTATTATCATGTGTCTCCTCTTTGTCTTTTCACTTTGTAATCTTCCTCAAGAGACTGATCACCTTTGGATTGTTTATTCATATTTCAGAGCAGGTTACTTACTAAAAGCTACCCAGACACTCTGTGTGAGTATGTGTGATGGTGGACTTTTCAGTTTATTGGCTTCATTATAGAGTGACCAGTTGGGAAATCAACCATTTATTGGGGGTGCCTGCAGTGTTGTTGATATTAAGTGCCATTGAGTCAGCTCCAACTCATAGTGACCTTATAGGGTTTCCAAGGAGTAGGGTTTGAACTGCCGACCTTGTGACTTGCAGTGCAGTGCTGATCCAACAGTGTTGTACCTGGAGCCCCAGCCAGCAATATCTGGCACCAATTAGTTTCCATCCTGGGCTGCCGAGTGGACAGAGATGGGGACATGAACCAAGTGGCAGTGTTTCTAAAGGTCAATATATAGACTTTTGGTGCTGGAGTCCTGGTGTGGCACTGTGGGATAAAGCACTGGACTGCAACATTGGTTTGAACTACTATGTCAGTAGTTCAAGCTTACCAACTGCTCCTTGGAAACCCGAAACAGGGTCACTATGCATTGGAACCGACTTGACAGCTCTAAACAACAACAGTGTAGTGCTACATCCTGTCCTCCTCTGCCTACTGTTCTCCATCCCACAACCTCATGGGAACCTCTCTAGTTCAATTGCTTCAGGATGAGGGAGGGAGAGCCACTGAGCTGCATGAGAAAGGGAAGGAGACTTGGGCATCGTTGCTCTTTGGTGATAGATACTCATCTCCCATGCAGGGGATCTGGGTTTGATTCCAGTCAATGCACCACATGTGAAGCCACCACCCACCCATCAGTTGAGGCGTTCGTGTTACTGTGAGGTTAAACAGTTCCCAGCCGAGTTTCCAGACTAAGATGGACTAAGACAAAAGGCCTGGCAACTTACTTCTGAAAACTCAGCCAATTGAAGCCTTATGGATCACAATAGTCCATTTCCCAACCTATCATGGCATTCAACAACCAATCATGATTGTGGAAAGCAGAACCTGACAGTGTTTCATGCCCAAATCGGGGCAAACTTGACTGCAACGAAAAACTACCACACACAATTCTCACCTCTGTGCCCCCTCCTGTCTCGGGACAGGCTTTATACCCACTTCTTGTTGACTGCCCCTCCTGAACATGCTTGGTTTCAGATTTCTCAGTCCTGCTAATTCCTCCATCTGCTTCCATCTTCCCCCAATCTGCTGACATCTGTTGCCAACTGACGTCACCTTTGCATGCTGTCCTTGTGTGTTTTTACATCCTTTTATCTCTTTGCTCTCATTTCAGTGGGCCTGGGAGGAAGCAGACAGGTGTTGAATTGGTCATGCAAAGCAGGATGTCTTACATATCTTCCTGAAGAGACTGCCCTCCTGCCTTGCCTCGTGCCTAGAGCTGGACCTTTGTTCGTGGAGAATCAAGGCTTCCTGTCATTAAGCTCCACTTTACTTAGAAAAGTAGTGAGGACTAGACTAAATGCAGTCTGAGCCCAGTGAAACCTGGAAGTGTTTACAGTAAAATAAATCCCAGGGAGGATCTTATTTTTTGTGTGATTTTTTTTCTTTCTTAAGGCTGAGTGAGAAACATCTTCTGATGAGCTAGGGCTCCTTCTGGACTTGGTCCTAATAATCATGACTTCGGACATGTTCCAATCTTGGATGTTGTTGTTGTCAGTGCTGTCGAGTCGATTACGACCCATAGCGACCCTGTTTAGGGTTTCCAAGGAGCAGACGGTGATCTTGAACCGCTCACCTTGTAGTTCAAGCGGCTTTACAGTCTGGTGCATTAACCCACAGTGCCACATCAGGACTCCATGGAAGGACATCTTTTTTTTTTTTTTTTTTTTTCCAAAAAGGCAGTAAGGCCAATGAGGTTGTGTTCTAACTAATTCAAGAAAGCCAAACTGTATCCCAGGGGAAGGAAATTCCTTTAATAAGGGAGCTTAGGTTTCTTGTTGTTGTTACGTGCTATCGAGTCAGTTCCAACTCAGCGATCCTGTATAAGGTTTTGAGGAGCAGCTAGTGAGTTTGAACCATTGACCTTATGGTTCAAACTGACTTTGCAGTCCAGTGCTTTATCCCAAAGCACCACACCAGGTCTCTTACTTATTCATTAAAGCAAACACTCCTCCCGACTCCAGGACACACACACAGAGCCTTTATTAGGCAGCACTGAAGACCGCTGTTATGAGTTGCTGTAGAATTGGTTCCGACTTACGGCCACCCCACAGACAACAGAATAAAACACTGCCTGGTGCTGGGAGCCTGTGCCCAATGTTGATATACTCAATCCCATTGTGTCAGTCCTGGGTGGCACACATGGTTGGTCTCTTGACTACTAGATGAAAGGATATCAGTTCAAACCCAGGTGAAGGCTCCTTGAAAGACAATTGATAATCTGGTTCTGAAAGATCACACCGTGAACCCTGGTTCTGCTTTGCATACACGGGGTCGCCATAAACTGGAGCCAATTAATGGCAACCAAAAAAATTGTGTGACCACTGTGTATTTTGAGTGTGGTCCAAAAGGTTTGCACAGGCTAACTGTTAGATCACCAAGTCTTTCTTCCTAGTCTTAGTCTGGAAGCGCTGCTAAAACCTGTTCAACTTGGTTGACCTTGCTGGTATTTGGAATATTTATTGGTGACATAGCTTTCAACATCATAGCAATACACAAACTGCAACTGTGTGACAGACAAGTAGTGGATTACAGATTACTTTATGGTGGATTACAGTTTACCACTGGTATTGTGGGCGGCAGTAATGCTTGGTCTTTGGAAACTCTCAAGAGTATCAAGTAGACCCTGGTGGTGGTAATGTTTGTGTGTCACTGAGCCGGTTACAACTCAAAGCAACCCTATGTAGGGTTTTCAAGGCGATAAATCTTTACTGGAGCAGAAAGCCTCATCTTTCTCCCGTGGTGTGGCCAGTAAATTCAAACTACTGACCTCGTGGTTGGCAACTCAGCTCAGAATGTATTATGCTACCAGAGCTCCTATCTAGAAGATACCCTTGTTGTTGTCATGTGCCGTAGAGTCGGTTCCAACTCATAGCGGACCCTGTACAGGGTTTCCGAAGTTGTAACATCTTTACGGGAGCAGAAAGCCTCATCTTTCTCCCGCGGAACAGCTGGTAGTTTCGAACTGCTGACCTTGAGGTTTGCAGCCCGATTCGTAACCACTACGCTACCAGAGCTCATAGACTGTATATAAAAGTAGGTGGGGTTTCTGGGGGAGGAGCCGTGCTGGTCTCACAGTGTCTTCTCTGTCCTTGCCTCTCCAGGTGCCCCCTTTCAAAGGTCTCAGCATCCTCACACTACCTCCTGCCGCCACTTCCACCTGGGCCCCCCGCAGCCACAGCCACTCACCCCCGACTTCCCCCTGGCTCACCCTGTGCAGTCGCAGCCGGGCCTCAGCGCCCACATGGCCCCGGCCCACCAGCACAGCAGCGCCCTGCACCAGTCGCTGACCCCGCTGCCCACCCTCCAGTTCCAAGATGTCACAGGTCCCTCCTTCCTACCTCAGGCCCTGCACCAGCAATACCTCCTGCAACAGCAGCTCCTGGAAGCCCAGCATCGCAGGCTGGTCTCGCACCCCCGGTGAGTGCTGCCCGGCGCCGGTGGTCTGGCTCCTACCCCGTCAGTAAAATGTGTTGAGGACCCCAACTGTAGGGGTTGAGATGCATGAGGCAGAGTGGGTGTTCGAGGAGGTCAGAGGGAAGAGGGATCACCATGAGCTGGAGTGTTCGAGGAGGCCTTTGTGGAGGAGGTGGGTTTTGACTGGGAAGAGTGTGAAGAGGGTTCGGGGAGGAGAAAAGGGTGTGTACATGAGAGGGTGTGTACAGAGGTGGGAAAACCTGCAGAAGTGGGTCTGTGTGCCTTGAAGACAGAGATGGAGTAGAGGGAGAGGGGCCAGAGGAGCCAGGTGAGATCTTAATCCATCCTGGGGTCTGAGTTAACAGTAGGCCACCCAGCTTGGAAGCCTTCCTTGGGGTTTGAGAGGAGGAGTGAAGTCCACTGCTCCATGACTGTACGACTCCGTTCAGGGACTGCAGGAGGGGCTCCCTCAGACTGGCTGGGGTTACTCAGTCCTCCAGGAAGCTGGGGTGGTCCCAGTGGCCCCGATATCATGGGGACTCTTTCCTTCCTGTGTAGGCGGAGTCAGGAGCGTGTGTCTGTCCACCCCCACCGCCCCCACCCCAGCTTTGACTTCGGCCACCAACTGCAGACACCTCAGCCCAGGTATTTGGCTGAGGGCACTGACTGGTAAGTCTTTGGGGGTACTGGGGGAGCGGTCATCAGAAGAAAGGAAGTTCTTTCTTTAGAACATTGCCAGAGGTCCAGTCCTCAGGCCCCGGCCTTTGCTCCTGCACCCAGGGGACCCTGTACCCAATCACCCTCGGGGACAGGGGGCCAAGAGCTCAGCTGTATTGGGCGCCATCTTGTGCCCAGCCTGGCTGGGGTTGCCAGTGTGGCAAAGGAAGGAGACTAGGTTAGAAAACATTTCCCAAGGCTAATTAAGTTCCCAAGGAGGAGGGCAGAAAGGAGAGTTCCAACAGCAAAGGTGCCTGGACATGGGTCTTTAGGGAGGCGCAGAGAAGTACCGGGAACTGCCAGCCAGGCCCTCAGCAGGAAGGTCCTGTAAGCACAGACTCACAGCATAGAGGGTGGTGTCAGACCGGAAGCACAAGGACAGAGACTGATGGGCTGGGACAGAGGTTGAAGGTTTTGTTGTGTGTCTTTGTAGGCAATGGGGGTCCTCTGATGTCACCCCACTATCTCCTCCACTTAGAACAGAGGTCTTTGCTGGCCTGGGCTGCAGTATTGCTTGGTTTTGACTCCTTGGTCCTACCCACATCTGGTTCTAGCTCAGTTGTTGTTGTTAAGTGCCATCAAGTAGGTTCCGACCCATAGTGACCCTGAATAGGGTTTTTGAGGCTGTAAATCTTTACGGGAGCAGAAAGCCTCATCTTTCTCCCACAGAGCAACTGGTAGTTTCGAACTGCTGACCTTGCAGTTTGCAGCCCAATTCGTAACCACTACGCTACCAGAGCTCCTTTCTAGCTCAGTAGAGGGCTGATTTAAATGATAGTCAGATCTGAACACTCAAAACTTAAAAAAAGATGATGTGCATTTCACAGAAGTGTTTACAGGTATAGGGCATTATGTCTGCAACTCATGTTTAAATTATTTTAAAAAATTTAAATATAAATTTATAAAATATACATGATATCTATCTATATACATATATAATATCTGTCTGTCTGGAGACCTGGTGTGGTGCTGTAAGATTAGCACTGGACTGCTAACAACAAGGTCAGCGGTTCAAACCCACCAGCTACTCCTTGGAAACCCTATACAGGGTCACTATGAGCTGGAACCAACTCAGCAGCACTCAACAACAATCTATTTATCTTGCTAGGTGGATATTTACATCTCCATAGAGATGTGTGTGTGTGCACATGCATATGCTTGTAGAAACTTTGAGAGAGACAGAGAAGGATATAGAATTATAGTAAAATGTTAACATTTAGGGAATCTGGGTAAAGGCTAAGGAGCCCTGGTTTAAGTACTCAGCTACTAACGGAAAGGTTTCAGGTTTGAACCTACCAGCCACTCCACAAGAGAAAGATGTGGCAGTCTGCTTCTGTAAATATTTACAGCCTTGGAACCCCATGGGACAGTTCTCCTCTCTCTTTAGGGTTGTTATGTGTTGGAATGAACCAGGCAGTGATGGGCTTGGTAAAGAGTATCCAGAGGTTCTTTGTACTATTCTTGCAAATTTTATGTTTCTAAAAAAAAATTTTTGTATGAATGTTGAAAATAAAAATCAGTGGGAAAAAAATGGACTATTTTGAAATAGTCCAAAATCAGTTGTGAGATTTGACAGCTGTTTAGTTAGCCCAACTCTTCATTAAGTTTTGCTTTGGGAGCTTTTTTCATAGACACCCTGGAGTAATTCAAGAAGTAACTCTGATTGAGTGACACTCTTATGAATTGAATTGTGTCTCCCCAAATTGTGTGTTGTAAATCCTAATCTGTGTGCCTGTGGTTATGGTCCCATTTGGGAATAATTTGCCTTTGTTATGTTAATGAGACAGGATTAGCAGGGTGTGTTTTGAGCCAATCTCTTTTGAGATAGAAAAGATTTTAAACAAACAAGCTAGAGAAGCAGAGAAGGGCAAAATCAGATGCCAAAACCACAGAAACATTACCAAGGAGCCGAAGCTCAAATGATACAAGGACGTTCCCTCCAGAATTGACACAGGGGGAAAGCCTTCCCTAGAGCCAGTATCTTGAATTTGGACTTCTAACCTCCCAAACTGTGAGAAAATAAAATTTCTGCTTGTGAAAATCACCCATTTGTGATATTTCTGTTCCAGCTTGTAGTTAAGTGCTGTCAAGTCGGTTCTGATTCATATCAACCCTGTATAGGGTTTCCGTGGAGCAGCTGGTGGGTTTGAACTTCTGACCTTGTGCTTCACATTCCAGTGCTGATCCTACATCTACATTAACTAAGACAAGCACGAAGGATGCTTCTGGGTGCAGGGAACTATTGTTCAGCATGTTCCTTGTATTGTTTCTCACTCTCGGCTCATTCTCAGACACATCTCCATTAAGCTGAAGAATCCTTTAGAAGACAGATTGCACTATAGCCAACTTCAGCTGAGCTTTTTTCTAATTAGCAGGATTCAAATTATGAGCTTTAATTGCAGCTTGGATTAAATTATATCTCTCAGTAGTTGAATCAGTTTAACTCATTTTAACACACATGGAGTAATCAGGGTCTTTGCTTACGGCTGAAATGATTTGAACAAACACACAAGGTCCAAGGTGATAAGTGTGGCTTTACAGGTGACAGAGGTGGGACATCTTTCCTGAAGAGATATCAGGAGAAGCCACACAAACAGTAACTGTTGTTTCCAGCATTCTTTATTTAGCCAAACTTCATTGTCCTTCTCGTTCCAACCACCCTGTATTTCTGACTCACACTTGCTGTGAGAAACAGCAAAAATGAGGCCCTGTGTGGCAGATCCTGCCCTAGCTGGGTAGCTAGAAGGACCCTGGACTTGAGTTCAGCTTGCGTTGACCCCTTTCTGCCTATTCTGTCCCTGTTTCCCAGAGGAGGAGGCAACCCCTCCCCATGTAATTGCTAGCTACGCACTAGCCAAGGGCCAGACTAGTGGTACCGAGGGGCTTCTGTAATTGTGATAATGCTTGCTGCACCCTCAACCCACTCTTCTGGAATAGCCTCTCTGCCGGAGAAGAGCAACCTGATAAATGGAATACTGGGCATGCATTATAGGAGGGGCCACTGCGAGGGGGGAGGGACGAGTGTCTGAAGCTGCACTCCTCGCCCCCACCTTTCAAAGACACTTCGGAAACCACGGAGTTCTGCTCTAGGTCATTCCAGGTATTGGGCCATAGACTCTTGTCCAGCTCCAAGTGAGGCTGCCCTGGACTTTGACATATCTCAACCCAACCCATCGCAAGCAGCTTCTCCCAGCTGAGCATCCTGGCCTGAGAGTGTGAAAAGAAATGGAAGAAGACCCCAATAAATGGAGAGGTATTTTGTGTTCATGGAGTCCTGGTGTAACTGCAAAGTCAGTTTGAACCGCAAGGTCGGTGGTTCAAGCTCACCAGCCGCTCCTTGGAAACCCTATACTGAGTCTCTTTGGATTGGAACCGACTCAATGGCACTTAACAACAATTGTGTTCCTAGATCAGGAGATTCAAAATTTTATTGAGTGGTCAGCAAGGACTTAATTATATTTTTTGTGATTAAAACATTTTAAAAAAAAAGCTTTTTATTGTGAAATGAGTCAAGGTTTACACAGCAGATCATCAGTTTTACATTCACCAAATCACCTTCATTACAATGGTTGCAATCCCCTCCATGTACCGTCAGCTAACGGTATCTCTATTAACTGTAAGTCTTGCATTCCTCCCTGTTTTGTACTACCTTCCTATATCCTCTGTCAACCTCTGTTTTGTTGAGTATTGCTTGCCTCGTCACTATGTTAACATGTGTCTACCCTCTACTATAAGAAATTTTCAGAACATAGTTCTGGCTTAATCTTGTGCTAAGTTCCAGGCAAGAAGTCCTGTGGGTAAGCACTGGACTGATAACCACCAGGTTGGCAGTTTAAACCCATCAGCTGTTCCTCAGAAACCCTATACAGGGTTGATATGCATTGATACTGATTTGTCAGTGCTTAACAACAACAACTTCCAAACAAAGGCTTCAGACCTCTTGGATGTTTTCTTGAGCCTCCAAACTCAACCATGTTCTCCTAAGCTGTTGGCAATAGTGGAAAAGTGGGAGAAAAAGTGGCTTTTCAAGGAGCTAATGTTTCCTCGGAGTCCTGGTATGACTTTGTAGAATAAGCACTGAACTGCTAACTTCAAGTCAATGTTTCAAACTCACCAACTGCTCCTTGGAAACCCTAAACTGGGTTGCATATGAGTTGGAATCAACTTGATAGCACCTAACAACAACATTTCCTTTGGGTAAATTTTCAATTCGGACTTCCTGAGGTTCCATGGCACTGCACCCTACTGAGGGACCCTGGGTAGAGGAAGGGATTTTCTAATGGGATTATAAGGGGAATTCCAGAGTCCACCTAGACCCAACCAGAACATACTATTCCACCTAGCTCAAGTGCAAGGTACCATTGACTTTTCCAGTTAACATTCTTGGAACTGTTGTGACTCTGTTCGTCCTACACCTCAAGGTCCTTGTCTCCTTGCTTTTGGTGTAATTACCTGAACATATCTTTCCTTCTGATGTAGTTGTTAAGTGCCATCAAGTTGGTTCTGACCCATAGCGACTCTATATAGGGTTTCCAAGGAGCGGCTGGTGAGCTTGAACCACCGACCTAGCAGTTCAAACTGACTTTGCAGTCCAGCACATTAACCCACAGTGCCACACAGGACTCTAAGACTGCTGGAAGTCAACACTTCAGCCATATGATGATGTCCCGCGGAACTCCTTTCCCTGAAGTGGTACAATGAGATGAGCTTGGGTAAGGTTCAGACACCCTAGTAGCTAAGGATCTTGGATAGGACAAGTCCTTTCTTCATGCCATAGATGAGCTGTGCAAATGAAGATACTGGGCTACTTGGTTTCTAAGTTTGCTTCCAACTGACTCCAAGAGTTTTTAGCTCATTTTCCAAATGACAGATTCATAATGAGTTATTTCAGGGATTTGGGCTAATAATAGCCCCTTGCATTTGTAAGTGCTCTGCAAAGGGCTTTCGCATCCATTTTCCCATATGATCCTCCCAACATCACTGTGAAGAGCTACTGATGTCATCAATTTAGATGACGCTCAAAGAGGTGAATTTACTGGAGAGGGTCTCACAGTGGAGGAGGCAGAACTGGGATGAGGACCTGGGCTTTCTGACAATGGGTTCCTGCAGCTGCTTGGACAGTGGTGTGTGTGTAGCCTGTGAGGATGGTGGTCAGTCCTGCCTTCCTGAAGCAGCTGATCTAGGCTGTGGAGAGAGCAGAGAGTGGAGCTGGGGCCATTACAGGAGCTATGCTAATGATCTTTGTTGTTGTTGTTGGTACCGACTCATAGCAACCCTCTGCACAGCAGAACGAAACACTGCCTGATCCTGGGCCAACCTCACAATTGTTGCCACACTTGAGCCCATTGATGCTGCCACTTTGCCAATCCATCTCACTGGGGGTCTTCCTCTCTTTCTCTGACCCTCCACCATACCCAACATGATATCCTTCTCCAGCGACTGGTCCCTCCTGACAATGTGTCGAAAGTATGAAAGACGAAGTTTGGCCATCCTGGCCTCCAAGGAGCACTCTGGCTGCACTTCTTTCAACACAGACCTGTTGGTTCTTTTGGCAGCCCATGGCACTTTCAATATTCTTCTCCAACACCATAACTCAAAAGCATCAATTCTTCTACCATCTTCCTTATTCATTGTCCAGCTTTCGCATGCGTATGAGGTTATTGAAAATACCATGGCTTGGGTCAGGCACACCTTAGTCCTCAAGGTGACATCTTTGCTCTTCAACACTTTAATGTTGAATGACAATACTCTTTTGTTGTTGTTGTTGTTAGTTGCCATCGAGTCGGTGCCAACTCATAACGACCTTACGCACAGCAGAATGAAACACTGCCCAATCCTGGGTCAACCTCACTACTGTTGCCACGCTTGAGTCCATTGATGCTGCCACTTTGCCAATCCATCTCGTTGGGGATCTTCCTCTTTTTCTCTGACCCTCCACCTTACCAAACATGATATCCTTCTCCAGCGACTGGTTTACTACCTCACAAATACGACTGGCTCAAGGAGCAGAACTCAGGCCCCTTGAAGGTTGATGGATTTATTGGGCTTTCACCCACAGAACCATCTGAGGGGACATTGTCCAAGATGAGGTATAGCCAAACCCACGTTTCACAATCTGCGGGAACCAGCAGCTTGTGCAGTGCAGGCACAATGGGAGCTAAAAGAGTTCACAGTCAGGGCCTACCCAAGGCAGGAAGAGAAAGGGAAACTCTGAGTCCCAGTACCTCCTGCCATCTTGCCCACTTAGGATCTAAGGTTGCACCTCAGAAGCCATGGGTTTTCAGGACCTGGCTGCTGTATGGTGATCCCAAAGGGGACGCTATGTCTGGTCAACCATCATTAGCTCTGTCATTTCTTGTCTTAGGGTATTTCTAGTGACAGATTTTCCGCGTGGTTATGAGACATAGTATCCTGTTTCTTGGTATGTCTGGTAATTTTTTACTGAATAATGGATATTATAAGGAGCTCTGGTAACGTAGTTGTTACAAATTGGGCTGGTAACCTCAAGGTTGGCAGTTCGAAACTACCAGCCATTCCACAGGAGAAAGATGAGGCTTTCTGTTCCTGTAAAGATTTACAGCCTAGGAAACCCTGTGCAGGGTCACTATGAGTTGGAACTGACTCCACGGTACTTAACAACGATAATAACAATGGATATTGTGAATTATACATTGTTGAGAAAATCGATTTATTTGAGTCTTGGGCTTTGTTCTGGCTTTGTTCTAGTACTGCTTGCAAATTTGATTCTTTTGAGGTTTGTTTTTTAGCAAATCTAGAGTATCTCTGAAGGAACTCTGGGTTCGTAATGAGTTACGTGTTGGGCTGCTAACTGCCAGGTGAGCAGTTAGAATTTACCAGCAGCTCCACAGGAGGAAGATGAGGATTTCCGCTTCTGTCAAGATGTACAGCCTTGGAAACCCCAGACAGATTCACTATGAGTCAGAATCGACTCAGCGTCACACCACCTCCACTACCACCAGCGTATCTCTGAGCCAGTTTATTCCAACACACATGGGGTTGCCATGAGTTGGAATTGACTTGATGACAGTTGGTTTGGAGTAATTCTAGAGTAAAGCTTACTGTTAAGTGTTGGTTCCAATTTATAGTGACTCTGTATAGAGCCTACTGTAGACTTACCCTAATGAAGCTTGCAAACACACCTCAGGAGGTCTCTGCTGAATATCCTGAATGATCAACAAGGACTCTACTCCCGTGGTTTGGAACACAAATGCTTCCCAGCCCTGCTGAGCTCTGGGATCAAGTCTCTGTTCCTTGGCTGCTCTTTGCTGTATCTGATGGATTCGTACCCCATGTGCACTCCTCTTCGTATTCTGCAGTCATGGGAGCCTCTCTGCAAACGTCTGGAGCTTCAGGCTGCATAGCTTCTTCCTTTCAAAAGCTTCAAAGATAATTTGCATATCAATGAACATAACTGAAAATTTTAGAGACCTAAAATTCTCTGAATTAAGATTCTCTAAATCTTCTATTCATCAAGACCACAGTGTCTGGAACACATCTGCAGGAAAAAATCCAGGGAAGTGGGAGGGCTCACCTTGCTTCTTTCTCTTTCCCCCCAGATCACAGTTCTGAATGTCTGTTGACCAATGTCTGAAAAGACTTGTATCATGTATTTCATCTAGTTTCCTCATCATCGACAGTGGAAAAGTAAATCTGATTCCTGTTAGTCCATCATAGCTGGAAGTGGAAATTCTTTTAATTCTCCTTCATAAGTATGTTTTTAAGTGTTTATTTTTACTGTGCTAAGTATATGTGGATTCCTGGGGTGCACTGTTGGATCAGCACTGGACTGTGAATCACAAGTTAGCAGTTCAAACCCACCAGCTGCTCCTCAGAAAACCTTATACAGGAGCTCTATGAGTCAGAATTAACTCCTCAGCATTGACAGCAACAAGAAGTAGATACATAACAAAACATTTGTGCTATCGTAACATTTTTGCACGTAGATTTCAGTGATATTATTTGCATTCGTTCATCATCACTACTACCCATTTGTTTGTGTGCATTTATTTGTTGAGTAAATGAGGTGGGCTTTCCTGTGGAGATTCTCAGGCTATCTGGATATGGCTGCTATACTGCCCTGCTGTTACTTAGCAATACTTAACGAACTCACGTGCCTATATTTCCTGTATATTGGCTTGATCGATTTAGGTTAAAATTTTCTTTCTTGGCAAAAATACTTCCTAGATGATGGTTGAGCCACATGGGGAGTGTACATGGTGTGGTTGGATTTTGTCTATGTATTACCCCAAAGTGGCAGCATCAATGAGCTCAAGAGTCACAACAATTGTGAGGTTGACCCAGGACCAGGCAGTGTTTCATTCTGTTGTAATAGGGTCGCTATGAGTCGGTACCAACTTGATGACACCTAACAACAACAACAGCATCAATACATTGCTACAATAAACAATAAAAAATAAATACTTCATAGGTGGTTTTGTATTCTTCCACCAAAAAACACTTAATGTCTTTATATGATGCTAGCAGCGATTGTTGATCTCTGCCTGTTGTTGTTAAGTACCGTGGAGTCAGTTCTGACTCATAGTGACCCTACAAAGGGTTTCCGAGGCTGTAAATCTTTACGGGAGCAGACTGCCTCATCTTTCTCCCGTGGAACCGCTGATAGTTTCGAACTGCCAACCTTGAGGTTAGCAGCCTGATTTGTAACCACTACACTACCAGAGGTCCTTTAATTCTTTCAAAACAAAAACCCTCAAACCCACTACTATGCAGTCAGTTCTAATCATAGCAACTCGGCACAGGGTTTCTGAGCCTGTAAATCTTTACAGAAGTAGACAACTTCATCTTTCACCTATGGAAGCAGTTGGTGGGTTTGAACCTTTGACCTTATAGTTAGCAGCCAAACACCTAACCCAAAGAGCCATCAGGACTCCTTTATTGGGGTGCATATAATGAACTGCGTGGCCCTGGGGCTCCTCACTGTAGCTCTGTCCCTGCAGGGATCTCAGTGTGGATGCCGGCTTGAGTCCTGCCCAGTTCCAGGTGCGGTCCATCCCTCAGCACTATCAGCATTACCTAGCAACCCCGCGAATGCACCACTTCCCCAGAAACTCCTCCTCCACGCAGATGGTAAGTGAATGAGCTCTGCCAAGAGGTGATGCCCCTTTTTCTTGGACTGGGACCTATGGCTCCAGGTGCTGGGGCTCCCAGGCAGACCAACTGCCAGCCGCTCCCCTACGTCCGAGCTTGAGGGGAGTAGGAGTCAGACATCCAAGGTGTGGAAAAGGGCAGTGTAGCAGGCTGTTCTGTCCGGGAAAGGCTCAGGGCTAGGAGCGGGCAAGAGAGTCCGTGTACCTGCTGGAACCTCACTTAGTTAACTTCTGGAGCATAACACCTCCCTGGGTTTGGGTTGTACTGATCTATGAAATGGAAATGGAGATGACTGACCCTAGAGGGTCCTGAGACTGGCCTCTAGATCTGGTTCTGCCTTTTCATCACTGCAGAGTGCTGGGGGGAAGGGGGTGTCTTTGGGTTCCTGACTTTGAAGGTTGCATGAAATTACAGTGAAGATTTCCGGCTAAAGCAGACTGACAGCTTCTTTCCTAATAGCTTCGTGTTGCTGCCCTAAGACATAATGCTGCCCTCTAGTGCTTGTCTCTGTCTGTGCCCATGCAGTTTCCTTATTTGTCTAAGGGGCTTAGACAAGTAGTTTCTGATGCCATTTGATTTTCTGTGGTTTGCGCTATGAAGCACCATCTCCTAGGAATAATTATTGAGCACTTACTACATACCAGGTACTGTTCCGAGTACTTCACATGAATTAACTCATTTAATCTTCTTAATGCCTATAAGAAAGGGATTAGTACTATTTTACAGCTTGACAAGCTGAGACATAAAGTTAAATGACTGGCCCAGGGTCACAGAAGAGTAGAAATGCTTTCTTGGGAGTCTCCCTTAACTCCTAGCTGAAGTTAGGGTGAGGTGAGTGAGGCAGAACCATTACAAGAACAGGGACTTATTTAAATTTTTGATGTGTTTTGTATTAAGCGTTTCTTTCTTTCTTTTGCTTTCCTCTTGATTTGGGGGAAACATTTCAGTAAAATATTTCTCTTGATTATTGAGATTTTTGGTGCCCTTCTAAATTTCAGTGAGTGCCTTATTTCCGTACCCTGGTTCTGGCCCAAGGACTCAGCCTCTGGGCTGCATTCTGAGGCAGGTAAAGGTGTGAACTTCTTGCTCTTACCATTTGATTGTATAACTTTGGGCCAGTTGCTTCATCTATCTGTGCCTCACTTACCCTGTCAATAAAATGGGTATAAGAACTGCACCCACCTTTCTGGAGAATGATGTCACATGATCAAGTAAAAGGTCAGCAAAAAACAAAAAGGGAGACCTTCAGTAAGGTGGACTGATACAGTGGCTGTAGCAATGGGGTCATGCATACCTACTATTTTGAGGATGTTCCAGGACCTGGTACTATTTCATTCTGTTCTACATAAGGTTGTTATGGGTGGGAATTAGCTAGAGGGCTAACCACGACACCAATTGCATCCACACTATATATCAGGTGAGATCATGAAATGGGTTAATCATGTGAAGTGCTTAAAACAGTGTCTGCCATGAAGTGAGTGTCAGTCTGAATTAGTTATTACTACTGATTTTGTTAAGAGTCCTGGGGCTGGTCTAGGCATAGCTTGGCTCTTGACACAGAAGGAAAAGACAGTGTCTCTGCCCATAACATGTTGGGTGTACAGGCTGGTGGGTCCAGAAAAAGGAGGTCACCCTGGGCTCTAGCCAAGCATTTTCTCCCTCAACAGGTCATTCATGAAATCCGTAACTACCCTTACCCTCAACTCCACTTCCTGGCTCTCCAGGGATTGAACCCCAGCAGACACACCTCTGCCGTGCGGGAAAGCTACGAGGTATGTCCCTCTGTCTGGGAATCCTCCTGCCAGCCAGGCACCAAGTAGGTTGCTAGAGACACCATATTGTCATCATCTTTTCTTCCTCCCCACTGGGTAGAGGGTGGGCAGTGGGGCATATATAAGGGTGACAGAGAGAGGAGGAGAGAGGAGAGGTGTGGCAGTCTTCCCCAGCAGACGAATTCTTGATGGTTTTTGTAACTGCCTCCTGCTCAGACCTTTCAGCGCCCCTCACCCCGGGGCCGTGCACATGCCGAGTGCACAACGTGTCTGATTTTGTCCTTTCTGTAGGAACTGCTGCAGCTTGAGGACAGGCTGGGAAATGTGACTCGGGGGGCTGTGCAGAACATCATTGAGAGGTTCACCTTCCCCCACAAGTACAAGAAGGTGAGTCAGCCCGCAGACTGAGGTGTCTAACTGATCCAGAGAGGCCCAGCCCCAAACCTAGAAGCCTTTGTTCAGATTAGATGCTCTGAAGCTGTGATGTTGTCTTGGGGGTTTCTTACATGCCTGTGCCAAGGGGTAATCAGGACGAGAGATGGGGGTCCTCCTAGCAGTAAAGTATGTGCTATGGGCTTGAGACAAGGACTGTGATGCGTGTGTACCAGCACCTGCACTCTGATGTTTGAAGGAGCTGGGTGGAGGGCACTTTCACAGAAGGCTAGTATTTGCCTTAGGAAATAATTCCAAGTCCAAGTTCAGATCATGGGAAGTCCAATTTTCAGATACAAAAAAGAGAAAACTAAAAACCAGAAGACCTAAAAGATTAGAATACCAAATAGGCAAGAGGAGAAGAATTGAAAAGAGAAAAGAATTTAAAGAAAAGTATAAATTTGACATAATAGAACAAGGTAAGACTATTCAGCTAAAATTATTAACTACAAATAGGAAATCACCAATCATGAAAGAATACACACTGGGAAAAACACAGTAGGTAACTGATCAGTAGTTGGGTCGTAACACTCTTTTCTTCTGGCCATCCCTCTTGTCTAGCGGGGGCCAACAAAATGAAATCCCTCCTAGCAAATCCAGCTGGACTCGGGCAGGCAGATCACTATAAATTGGCTCATAGTTAAAAGTCAGGACAATTATATGGGATTGTGAAGCCCTGGTAGTACAGTGGTTAAAGCACTTGGCTGATAACCTAAATGTTGGTGGCTTGTGCCCACCAGCCTCCTCAGTAAAGATTTGCAGTCTTAGAAACCCTACGTTGTTGTTGCTAAGTGCCGTCGAGTCGGTTCTGACCCATAGCGACCCTGTACAGGGTTTCCGAGGCTGTAAATCTTTACGGGAGCAGAACGCCTCATCTTTCTCCCGTGGAGCAACTGGTAGTTTCGAACCGCTGACCTTAAGGTTCGCAGCCCGATTCGTAACCACTACGCTACCAGAGCTCCTTGCAGGGCAGTCTTATTCTAGGTCGATATGGGTTAGAATTGGCTGGACGGCAGTTGGTTTTGGTATTTTGATGGCTGTGATTCTGGATTCTGGGAAGGTGGAAACTTGTTCTAGAAGCCTGGCATGGTTCACAGTGGAGTATATGGGCACAGCAAGGCTGAGCACAGGAGGAATGGCTGTTCTTGGGTGTCCCGGTGAGGTTACAGGATGTCCCAGGCTAAGTCAGAATAGGGACCAGATCTGCCACCTGGGCCTGGTCCTAAGGTCATTCTCTGGGTGGTCTTCATCTTGTGATACTCCCGATTTCTCTCTTTGCAAAATGACCTTTAAGTTAGCTTACTCATGGAGAGGGCACAGAATAGGCAGGTTTTTACCCGTGGACATTATCAGTAGCAGACCTTCCACTGCACTGCATGGAGAAAGGAACTCAAAAGATGGGTTGATTTCATTCACTGACCAGATTCTGGCCTCCCCAGATCATTAACTAAGCACTAACGATAGTATTGTGCTTGGCCAAGTGTGGTGTAAGCCATTGTCCATACCATCTAAGAACTTGGAACTTTATCCACGGAAACACAGAGAAGGCTAACTATTTTCATATAGAGTTTAACTATTTTCAAATAATGAGCACATAATTGAAAAAGCCAGCAAGTATAAACAGAGTACCTACAGAAGGGACTAGAACCTACTTTAAAGGAACTTTCTAGATGGGGAGAGAGATCCAGCAGTATAAGACCTTTCATGACAGTATAGTACAGATGACAGGAGTTAGGACCAGGTAGAGGAATCTTGACTTCACCTTCTCATTGTTGCTATCATAGCAACCTCAGGTATTACAGAACTGAATGTTGCCTGGACCTGCATCATTCTCACACTCATTGCTATGTTTGAGCTCATTGTCTTCCTCTAGTAATGGATAAATACATACGCTGACATTAGCTAAATGAATAAATAAATGAAGGAATGGACCTGCAGGTGGAGGGAGAAGCCTGGAGGCAGGGACCTGGGATGAAAAGAACGTGAGAAGAAATGGATAGCAAGAGCAGAACAGAAAGGGGAAGTTCTTCATGCACAAGTGATTGACTTGTTAGGTGCCCAGTGCCTTTCCAAATCCCGGGCCCCTAGAAAGTGCCAGTAAGTGCTGGACTGTGAACCACAAGATCAGCAGTTTGAGCCCACCAGTCGCTCCGCAGGAGAAAGATGAGGCTTTCTGCTCCTGCAAAGATTGAAAGTCTCAGAAATTCTATGCAGGGTTGCTGTGAGTCAGAACTAATTTGATGGCACATAACAAGAAAGTGGTTGAGGTCCTGGTGTGGCACTGTAGGATAAGCACTGGACCAATGTTGGGAGGAGGAGGAGGGGAGAAGAGAACTGGGAAGATGCCAGAAGTCTAGGCTTTATGCAAGAACTTAAAAAGGAACATGGAGAGAGGTGGCTGCCAGGAGGAAAGAACCTATGTAGGAAAGGCAATGGCCACTGAACGAATCTGCTGTTCTCTCCGCCTCTCATAGAGAAGACCCCAGGATGGCAAGGGCAAGAAAGAAGAGGGGGAGGAGTCCGACACAGATGAGAAATGCACAATTTGTCTGTCTATGCTCGAAGATGGAGAAGATGTGAGGTAGGAGGCCAGCCTCTTCAGTTTCCTCTCCCTTCTCTAAATGGGTGCTGCACTGCAACTGGGGGTGAGGGCTGTTTGCTTGCTCACTTACATGTGAGTGTGTCTAGTGCACAATAGTGTGTGGCATGGTTGCCCTGTGAAGGTGGGCTGTGGAATATTCTCTATGTGTGGTGCCCGTGGGTATGACTAGTAGATGCAAAAGGTAAGAGAACACCAGTGTGATGTTGGCCTTGGATGGGTCATGGTTTGCTTCAGGTTGACCTGAAAGAGCTCCATGGAAGAAGAGGGCTTTGAGCTCCACTTCCTGATTTGCTCTTCCATCTCAGCCACAAAAGATGCCTCTTTGACCAGTGTCACAGTGGCCATGCATGTATGCTTCTGGGTACCCTCAGTGACCCACCCTTTGCCCATCCTCAGCTCCTATTCCCCTTCTCCCCTCCCAGTCTCTGACCTGCCCACTCTTCTCTTCCAGACGCTTACCTTGTATGCATCTCTTCCATCAACTGTGCGTGGACCAGTGGCTCGCCATGAGCAAGAAATGCCCCATCTGCCGAGTGGACATTGAGACACAATTGGGAGCCGACAGCTGAGGGAGGAGTTAGCCAGTGAATGCCCCATTTTCCTTCACCAGGTCCCCCCGCGGCCATAGCCCTTGCAGCCAAACTTTGCCTTCTGAGCCATTTGATGTAGAGGAAAAGCCTGCAAGCACATTTTGTGGAAAGAGGAGTTGGTGGTGTCAGTGTCTGAGGGAAAGCAGGGGGTTGGGGAAGCATCCACCCATGCAGAATGGTGACTGCCTCCATCAGCCTTGCTGCACGGGAGGGAGGAGCTGGCTGTGTCCAGAGCAGGGGTGGGAAGGGGGGGCCCACACTGCTGAGGGTGTAGATGTGATCCTGAAGGTTCTAGCTGATAGACCGGCCCCTCAATCCTGTCCTTTGAAGGATTGTATATATATACCTCTCGACCACGTAGAAACCATGTAGGGGTCTCTAGTTATTTCTGTGGACGGCAGCCGGAGCATGTTAGCTTAAGACAAACGTTGTGTGTGGTGCTCTAGTCGTCTGTGGTGGACATGTCCCTATTACTGAATCCGCACCAAATATTTTTCATTGAGTTCCTTGTTTTGGTGCCTGACTGAATCAATCAATGACAGCCCAAATCTTCCTGTCTTTATGAGAGAAAAGGAAAAATGAAAAAAAAAACAAACACAAAAAAAGCCAAATCCTGTTTACGGTGAAAAAAGATGTTTGTTTTGTTTTCATCCAGGTTAGGAGGCAGGAGGTTGAGGGGGGTGGGGTCTCGTATTTTGTGTCTTGTTTTTTTCCTTTGCTTTTGTTTTTCTCATGTTTACAATGCACGGAGTGTGGGAGGGGGCATTTGAGGAAAAGAGAGTGACTGACTGGAGGCCTTATTCGGGCCTCTCAGGGGCTGAGCTATGGTCAGGAAGGTAGAGATGGAATAGATGAATGGGGAAGTTTTGTTTTGAGGAAGGGCTCCCCAGTTCCAGGGCTCGTTTGTTTGGCTTCAGCTAAAACCTCCATAATCACTGGACCAGAGAGGGGCCAGCTTTTAGCTACAACCCTTCCCTGGGTTCCTCAGAGCCAGGATACCCAAGCTCATGCTACCTTATGCATGTCACAGAGAGGCATTTAGCCACGCCTCCCTATGCAAAACCAGATGCTGATGCTAGACAACAGGTGAGACCACTTGGACTTGGCCAAAGTGCTGTCAGCTAGCACTCAGAGGCTGAGACTAACCATCATGAATATTGAGAAGTTGGCATCCTTTGGGATGTCTCCAGTCCTGATGCAGTCTTTCAGAACACTGATACCAGATGGATTGGGTTTGGATTTGGGAAGCTAACCTCTGGCTCTTCCTCTGACTCTCTGATTACCTTGGGCAAGTCCCTTTCTTTCTCTGTGCCTCAGCTTCCTTCTCCTTAGATTGGAGAAAAATCACAGTACATCCCCATTTTCACTCCCTTTACCTGGTGTGCCACTGTAGGATAAACACTGGGAAAGCTAATCATAAGGTTGGTGGTTCAAACCCACCAGCCGCTCCTTGGAAACCCTATACAGGGTCGCTATGAGTCAGAATTGACTTGATGGCACTTAACAACAGCAACTTTAATTAGATGTTGTGAGGATTAACACCATGTGTCCAATGAGCTCTATGCTAGCTCCTAGAAATCTTCTTGGTATTTAGGGGTGGGATATGGTAGAAGAGACACACCTGGAAGTTCTAAATATCACCATACCATGGGTCTTTCTGCACAATCTCATGTTTCCTGAACCCCAGGAGAGCAAGGGGTTGGGAAGGCAGGAGAATGGAGGTGGGAAAATCCACCAAGTTCCACCCCAAACCCAACTTTCTTTATTCAGATGTAGAACACACTAGGTCAGTTGGAATTCTGCTATCTTCCTTTGCCCTTTTGCATCCTCTCCCCTCATTTGCACTGCTCTAAAAGCCCCTCTGCCTCATCTTAGCCCTTACCTCCATTTCAATGCCCATATATCAAGAGAAGACCAAGGAAGATAGGAGACTTACCATCACATATATGAAGAACTTCCGTAAGATGAAGGAAATTTGAGTTTGTATTGCTGCTGCAGAGGTTGCCATGAGTAGGAATGGACTCAATGGCACCTAATAACAAAAACCAGGACCAGTGGATCAAAGTGATAGGAAAGACTACCGCTTGAGGTTGAGCTTTGTAACACCTCTGGAGCTGTCCAGCAGAGGAATGGCTGCTCTGGACACCTGTAATCAGCAAGTGCTGGTGGCTTAAATGAAGAACCTCACTCAAAGACCAAGGTCTCTTCCAGCACCAATATCCTGGGCTCTTTAAAATCTTTATTGAATGCCTACTGGTGCAGGTGCTGGGAAAGCCTTGAGGAGCATATAGTCTAGCTAAGGAGAGAAGACAGACGACATTTTGCAATAGTGCAAAAATGGTGAACATTTTGAAGATTCAGGGTCAACTGTAATGAACATTGCATAGCTAAATTCTGTGATTCCAGTATGTGAACATGTCTCCAGAGCTAAAGGTTGATCATCCTACAAGGAGGGAAAGTTCATCTGAGTCAGAATTGTGGGAAAAGCTACTTACTAATTAGCCACAGGAAGTTTTCCCCATTCTTCTAAGTGACTGAGTCAAAACCAAGCATTCCACCAGAAGATGGCTTTGGCCTGAAGGTACCTAGGTAGTCTATGAAAATTCACTCCTCTCTATGGCTCAGTCTTTTGTTCTTCCTTCTGAGAATGATTTGAAAGGCTAGCAGGTAGAAGGAAGTCACTAGATGGGAGGCCAAGATGGAGCTAGAGTTGAACATCTGGGTTCCAGTGTTGGCTCTTCACTGACAAAGTGTGCATTGTTAGAAGCCCCCTTCTCTCTGGGCCTCAGTTTCCTCAGTTATAACACAAGGAGGTTGGAGTGGATGCTTGCTAAATTTCTTTCCAACTGTGATCCTCCTTAACATCAATACATCTCCTTCCAAGCTCGTAGCAGAACAGAGGGCCAACTGAGCTGCTGCTATGACCTTCTGTGAGAGGAACATCTGTTTCAGAGGCTGAGGGTACAAGTGCTAAGTGAGAGAGTGGGACTTCCTTCTCTCCTCCCTCCCAGTTCTCTGCAAGCTCCCTATGTGCCCCTAGGCTAATATTAGGGGCTGGGGGTGTGGGGATTATCCAGAGGGAAGAGCTAAACAGCTTACATTGCAGGGTAGCTACATCCTGAAGCCCCCATCTCCTTCCCATCTCTCTGGGGCCCATGTACCCTTCAAGTAGGGACAGGAGGTGATGTGGATGGAGTTCCCCCAGCTCCTGACTGTCTTAGGCAGGCAGCCATTTGGGTGAGAAGAAAGGACAGAGGTATTTGCTTCTGATCCCCAAGGTCTCCCCAGTGGACCAGTGGGGAGCCCTAAGGAGACAGAGAAGAGGCAGAGTCAGGCCTCAGCATCTCATATCCACCACCCCAGGAGGGGAAACCACCTGTAGTCCTCCTTCTGCTCAACTTAAGGGACTCAGACCCTTTTTTGACTGAGACGCATGAGTGCCTTCTGGGACAAGAGCTGCCCCAGGATTCAAGGTGGGCCTCCTAGCCGAAGCCGGCCCATGAGGACACCAATCAATCAAACCAACGCCACGAGCCCAGCTGGACAGGCAGGCAGAGGGCCCGGCAGGGTCTAAAGGACTCCCCACCCAGCCAGGACCCCCTCCGGCCCCTTTAGCCCTTGTCCACCGCCTGCGGCAGGACTCAAGCTCCTCTCCTGTAAGTGTCCCCAGCCTCCGTGCAAGTATTCTTAACTCTTTACGCCTAATGAACAAACAAGCACAGTTTTTTCAATGGTGAAGAAAAGCACCAGACTTTTGATTTTTTTTCCTGAAGAAATCCCAAGTCCCCCTCCACCAGGCGGGACAAACACTCCCCGCGTGGGGCTGTAGCAACGTATGTCAGGCCCCCCCCTCCCTTGTGTTTCATCTCTGCGCGCGTAGAGCAAATGCTAGAGCGATTTCAGCCGATAGAAAAACAAAACTGAAAAAAAAAAAAAACCACAAAAAAAAAACAAAAAAAAACAACAACCATGGCACGTTGCTAGTTTACAGGGTTTTGTGAGTTTAAATGCCTTATATTTAACAATCATAATTTATGACTAACTTGTAGATATCGTGGGTTCTTATTTAATTATTTTTATAGTTGTTTTGCATTTTTAATTATAATTTATTTCTTTAGAAAGAATACTAATTTTTTTTATTACTCCTATTACCTCATTTTGGCGTTGTTTCTGGGAGTGGAATGCTTTTGCATGCATTAGTACGATGACAAACAACTACGAATACAAAAAAAAACAACAAAAAAACAAAAAAATTTAAATTCCGCAAACTTTATTTCGTCCAAACTATCAGGGTGTGTGATCGCAAGCTGTCCTACTGTGGTGCTGGCCTCTTTGGATACATTCCATACGAAATGCAAACCTTTGATTCTGTATGCTGTGATCTAGTGGAAAACTGCAATATAGTGACTGTATTTAGCACATATATAAATATAATTTGCACTCGTCAGTCGACTGGGGTAATCCTTTCACTTGCTACTCTTGGCATCCCCTTCCCCCAATTAAATATAACCCTGCTTTTCCTTCCTCCCTCACCCCTCTCACAACCTCAGTGACTTGGTCTCTGTCTGCTGAGGAAACACCCACTCTCTACCTTGGACTTTGAGTCTCTATGGTCCCAGGCTGATGTTTTAGGATGACCTCTGGAGGTTAGGAGGCGTGGGTTCTCAGAGCAGCCCTACTGCAGGCTTCTGTGTGACCTTGAGCAAGTCATTTGGCCCCCCTGAGACTCAGTTTTCTGTGCCAGACAGATGGAGGTGACCTGGAGAGTCTTAAACATCCCTGATTTAGCATACCACCCTGAGACTGGCCTCACACAGCTCTTGTGGGAAACCGCTCTGCTGTGCCTGTCTTGCCGTTTGGGGAGTAAAAGGGGAAGGAGAAAGGATGGAGGGATGGAGGAAGGAAAAAGAAGTGGAACAGAATGAGTAGATTGGGTTTATCTGGTGGATTTTCTCAGTGTAGACAGCCAGGAGGGTTAC